ACATAGGTATAATTTCAGCAATTTTGTGTTCTTTGAATTCTATTTAAAACTAATTGTTGATCACTGAGAACCAATTTGTCTGTGAAACAGCAATCTCTTCTCATACAGTCTTCTACTTTAAGTTCTGTAGATTTAAATTATAGTAACAAAATATACAATATTTATTAGAGACAAGTATTATAAGACATACGAAACAAACATAAAAGTTTAAGTGATTTCGATCATCACCAATGACACATCATTCGCTCATTAAGAATTCTCAACGTCTGAGGGTGCGGGTGTAAGTGTGAGTGGTAGTCTTAGTCTGACATCCACACGCACACTCTACATCCACACCCTACTCACACCCACACACACACCCTAGTTTTTATGCAATATAATCGTCATATTCAGAATTAGTATGAAAAACTGAGTTGAACGCGATGTGAATCAATGATTTACGAGCATTTTTATTTTTTTTTCAAGTTTTCAATGAAAAACTCCGCTAGAATTTTGTCAAGAAATGAAATTCAAGCTACACGGTTGAAATGCGCCTCATTTGACTCCGTCTTTTATGCTGATTCCGAATACGATGATTATATTGCATAAAAACTAGGTTTTGGTGCAAAAAAATTGCAATTTAGGGCTAGGAAGCTAGCTATTTCATCATTTCTGTAGGAAAAGTGGGATATGTTAGTCAAGAAACAAAGTTTCTTCAAATCGATATGCAATTTTCTTCGCTGTCTCATGGAGATTCGATTGATTTATTAAGATTGAGAAAATGATTTGAAACAAAAGACTACATAGGTTTACAAGATAAGGGTGTCACCATGTGATTTTTGCATCACAAGTGAACTGTTAAGGAACGATGGTTGCTTTGAAATGTTTTCAAGGCCATCCAAACTTACATCTTAATACTCATTTCAACATGCTGGATCCAAATAAAGTAGTTTTGGAAATCTACATTAGGTGGAAAGAGGTGAAGTTTCACATTTTCTCAAAAAACAGAGCATTTTTTGCACCTGTTTCATTTTTTTCAGTATTTTCAAGGCTTTAGACCCAAAATTTGATCAAAACACAATAAAAGCTACATATTCAGATTGGTCTCGAAAAACTCTATCAAACCATATATGAATCAAAACAACTTTTTTTTACTCCATTTTGGCGTTTGGTGCACTTTAAATTTATGAATAATTTTTAACGAGTAGTAGTTGTTCTTGTTTAAATAGGAACTGATTTTAAAATTCGAACGATTGAACTTGATGAACGGAAAATTAAATTACAGATTTGGTATGGGTGTGAGTGTGAATGTTGATGTGAGTGATCACTAGATTGATATTCACACCCCACCCACATCCACACTTATAAAAAAATCAATTATTGCCATTTTGAACTTGTTTTTCTGATTGCTCCAATTTTTCTCTCTCTCTCTCTTCGAAATAACTTTCTAGAATGATTCAAATTTATGAACAAACTATTCTCAATCGTTAAATTTCGTTTTTATTATTGTAGCATTACAGTGAACGAAGTCTCACTTCGACAGATGACGATATAAATATGATTATTTTCTTTGTTAGATTTCCGTAGTGAACTTTAATGGTTTATCGAAAATTTAACTACCGAATACAGATGCAATACATGCAAACACGAGTCTTGTTATGTTTCTCTATCGACAAGTTTAATTATTTGCTCGAATATTTCAAAGTATTTTTTTTTTTAATTGAAGAAACATTTTTCTCTATTTCACATGAAATATGATGCATCTACACTGAATATATCCAACAATTTCTAAGTAATCAATAAAAATAGGCTGACGTCACCTAATTTAAACATTCATGTTAATACAAAGGAAATGTTATCATCTTTGCATTCATCATTTTTCTTGAAGACTGTGTAGATCATCTGCAGAACATAATCTAGAATAACACAATTACATTACTAATTTGCCTTTGCAATGTATGCAAGTCATAAAACAACTAGAACAAGCATGTTCTCCATCGATAATCATCTACTTCGAGTGAATGACAATACCAACAAGGTCTTCTAAAGAGTCTCAAATCAATATCTTAACTTCGGCTTCGTTTTTCAAAATATTCTGTGTATCGATTATATTAAATGTTCACGATCAGTCTTTGACACTTTAGTTCCTTAGAAGCGATTGTTGTTCAACAAAAAATAATTTTTTTGTGTCTAGGCAACTCGATTTTTCTTATGTGAAGTCAAACAATATCTTCATGAATTTTGTAAAACGCAGTGCCTCTTCCATATTCATATTTTCTTTTCAAAAATTTGCTCTTTGTTTTCGAGGACCTACGATTGAAGGTGGAACTTTTCTAAAATAATTTTTGATACGGGTGTGGGTGTGGTGGGTGTGTGTGTGGGTGTGGGTGTGGGTGTGGGTGTGGGTGTGGGTGTGGGTGTGGGTGTAGATGTGGGTGGATATGGGTATGGGTGTGAGAGAGATTAGATTCACTCATCCACACTCACACCTACATTCAAGGAGGAAACAGCAGAAACTTCAGTCGTGAAGTTCCATGAAGTCTCATGAAGTCTTTTGAAGTCCTCTATTTTTTCCTACTATGAAGTCGCGTGAAGTCTGGTGAAGTTCCATGAAGTCTCGTGAAGTCCCATGAAGTCTCTTGAAGTCCCCTGTTGCAGTCTTTTGAAGTCTGCTGTTTTCCCCTTGCCCACACCCACACTCACACCCTGAGTCGTCCCTTTCGTTCAATGACTCTTAGGAGTATAGATGCAAGGGTTGGTATGTATGAGTTTCTTCATTTGGATGTCGCTCGTAATCAAACCCACATGCATATCCATCTATTATGACTATTTTTAATAGGAAATCTTCTCAAAATGCTTCGTAACCGAGAAAAGAAAGGTCAAATTCCAACTTGCTAGCAAGAAAGTGAACTGCAACGTTGAAGAATGATTTGACGATTGTCGAATTGTCCACAACAATGAAGTCTAACTTGCGTTGTCTGTATGAGTTCTTGTGAGAACAATCCTTTAAATAAAACTTTTCAAAAAAAACTGTCAGGTTGTCAATGTTACTAATTTGTGTAAAATAATGTCTTCTCATAATTATGTTCTACTGGCAAGGAGCTGAATTCGAACTGTATGGTTGGAAAGCTGTTACTTGAAAAAAAGGGTGCGATTGCCGATGGAAGCATGCAAAAAAAGAGAAACACTCTTGTGATGAAAAAGAAATCTGTTGCCCTCAACTTAGTTTCCTAGCGATGTTTCGTTGTTCTGTCAACAGCATGTGCTTAAAAACAATTCACATGTTGATGAATTCTTTCTCACTCCAATCAAACGAGTTGCAACATTTGGATTTCATTCGAGGCACTATAAGCCATATATAACTTTTTAAACGATCAACATGAAGAAATAACGAAATTAGTCACTATTGGAAAAATTGATCCAGCTTAAAAAACAAAGGAAAAAAATAAAATGTTGAGTATTCTTTTCTAAATCTTCAGCATAATTTGCTCAGTATTATATACAAATTACCAATAAACAAATTACACTATCCGTGTAAAATTTAATATCCAGTAAATATTATGTTTCCTCATTAAATTAATACTTTGTTTGAAATTAAAATTTAGGCATCAGTAACTAATTCAGTTTACTCATTTAAAAATCCACTTGCTCATTAATGAACACTACTTGCCTCAATAATTGAATCATTTTGATTTAGGTGTAACTATCGGTTTGAGTCTGGTCTAGTGCTTCTTGCATCGAGATCCACATCCACCCCCATGCCTACACTTATACCCCATCCTCACCCACATCCATCTCAATGAGACGATTGTAATATTCCTAAACCATTGAATCAGTTTTAACAAAAAGCTAGCATGTCGAACACGATCAGATATCAGATGCTGTGACAAATGAACAAAATAATGATCTTATTTACCCTTATCCTCAATTAGAAATGCAGGTCTAGTTTGTTGTGTGTGAAGCCAGGCTAGAAAATTTTGCCATCAATGGAATACTATCGATTTATAGGAGCTAAAAGTTCAAAACTGAATATAAAATCAAATATTAAAAAATATTTATTAATGATAAAAAAACAGTTGTTGTAATATGAAATAGTATTTTTGAATTTTTTTCTTGTTTAAAATTATCGTTTCTTTAATAGTTCTAGTGGTATTATTTTTGAAGTTTGAGGAAACAATAATAGAATATCTTCTATTGAAAGAGTTAAGTCTATTTCTGTTGGATTTTGTGGATCATAAAGGGAATATAAATTGTACAAATTCATACGTTGTTTTGGAATGAAAAATTTTTCTATTGCTTGTTCGAAAATTTCTTGTATTATCGTTGAATTATTAGCGAGAATTCTTATTTCTTTTTCTTTATAGATTATTGAACATTTAGCATCGGCTTTTGATACCAATTTAAAATAAATACCATCAGTAGAATTATAAAGTTCATTAATTGAGAAATCATCATCAGCTTCTGTATCATCAGAACAAATAAAACTATAATATTTATTATTTACATTGAATAATTGACATGCTATTTCAAATAAACGTCCGATTTTAACTGATGGTGAACAAGTAAAATTGATTGGAAAATCTTTTTGCTCTTCATCAATAATAGTCATATCAGTTTTTAGATTTTCATTGGTTAATTTAAATTCAATAGATGACGACGACTTTTGAAAACACATTAATGAAGTTGTTTGTGAAAGGATAATATCATTATCAAATAAAAGATATTGATCTTTAATAATAGTTTGATTTCGTTTATATACGTCGGCTATTGTTGCAAATATTGTATATCGTTGATACATGTTTTTGGTTCTAGCAGCCAAATTAGATGATTGAATAATTGTTAAAAGACGTGTTTCATTTTCTTTAACAAGATAAAATTTTGTTTCATTGATATTTGAAAATTGTTCGTCGTTCGATATTATTATACGTGTATCGAATGATGTTAAATATTTATAAATATCATCGTTTAATGGTATCATTTGTAGGAGTTGTTCTATTGTTATATTTCGATTTGAGATTGGTATCGAATACAATTCATTATCATCATATTTGATGATTTTAATTAATATTCCAATTTGAAAATGTACTAATTCATTGGTATTCAGTTCATAATATTCAATGGATTTTTGAAGATCTTCTTCGAGTAAAATTTTTTTATCTGTTTCATCTATTAATAGGAGAATACAATCGATTGGAGAAATATTTACGTTTAATTGTTGAAAATAATATCGATTATTTAATAATTCTGAAACTTGACATGATTTTAATGTACGCATAGTTTGTTCATTGTTTTCAAAAGAAATCTTGAATTTCATCGTTTGTTTTCTATCGATACCATCAACTGTTATTGATGTAGATTGAGCTGTTGTAGAAGAAATGATTTCATTTTCATCAATAATAATTCTGTCTTGTCTATTCCAATAATTATAATTATCAACGGAAAGATCTACAATATTCTCAAATGTTTTTAACCATAAATCAATCTGTTGCCATTTTGTCATCGGATGGAATGCTTTTATTTGTTGTTGATCTAGACGAAAAAAAATCATAAAAATCAAATCCATATGCAAAATGAGGTATTTACTTTCAATTCCTCTGAAGGTTATTTCAAATAGATTGTGTGCATTGTCTTTACATTGAATAATTCTAATTTGAATAGGGTTCGTGTTATTCGATCGATAGAATTTAATAATTTTTTCATCATCATCGATATGCATCCCGAATTCATCAAAAAAACTATAAATATCCGACGATGTAATAGTTAATTGTTGATCAATGAGAAAACGATTTATAACCGATGATATTTGACATTCTGATGTTGCGAAATATTCAATTTGTTTTGATTCAAATGTTAATACAATAGGATTTAATAAAGTTTTTTCAATGATATGATATTCTGGTGATATACGAGGGGATGATTGATTATTATTTTCGTTCAAAAAATCGACATGTATTTGATTTTGATCTATGATAACATAATTGTCGAAATATCTTTTTTCTTCGAATATTGTTCTTAGTTTGAGATAAAAATTTTCAGTTCTTAACGCTAACTTTTGACGTTCACTTGTAGGATGAATAATATCACAACGTAATACTCTCACTGGATCAGATGTTGAACCAGGCTCTGGTTTTATCTTTTGAAATAGCCTTGATGCTGTTAATGCAATAGATTTGATATTTAATTCAAATAAAGATCTGTATTCAATGTTTTCTTGTACTAAAGACAATGTTGATTCAGTGTTTGATGTTTCATGGTTTATATCAGTCGGAATAGTGTCAATGATTGGTTGTAGATTCTGTTGTTCATCAGAAAAGTTTCTATCAATATCTGATCTTGATGCTGTAGCATGATTGTCCGCTTCATGTTGAATCTCTTCATCTTGGGAAACTGAATGTAACAGATCATCGACTGGATTTTCATCTAGAATTAATCTGAATCTAGAAGCATTATCTTCTTCGACATATTCATCTTCTCTATCGTTAGAATCTGCATGTAACAAATGATTGGATAGTGTATCATCGATATTCACGTTAAATGTTGCTTCATCATCGTTTATGTTTTGTTCATTTGATTGTTGAAAAAGTTCTATATTAATTCTTGTATTATCATTATTTACCTCAACATAATCAACTTGATCTTTATATTCAGAATTTTCTGTAATATCATTATCTTTTTTAAAATATCGTCGAAAAACATTTTCTGTATTTTCTTGTTCGTTCGATTGATCATTAAAATTATCATTCCATTTTGCTTCATTTTGTTCTTCGATATCAATTGTTTGTTCTTGTAATCTAGATCTTATTTCAATTAATTTAATTGCAAATTGAACATAATTTTCACATTCTATTTCGCTTGGTATTAGTGAAACAATAGCATTTTCAATACGTAAGTATTCACATATTTGTATTAATGATTGAGATGATTGTTGTAATAGAGTATCTTCGATTTCTTTCAATGCATTTAAAAATTCTGTTATTGTTCGTACAGTTGATTGTAATTGTTCGGTTTTATTATCGTAATAGGCTTTAATTAATGTTGTATCTAATATTTCATCCAATTGATTATTCAATTCGTTATTAATCGGAATACAAAGTAAATGCGAAACATTAATAAGTGAATATTGAAAATTACTGATTAATTTTTCATATAATTGGCATACATCACCAATATACCTTAATTCAAAATTTTGTATTTCATATTTTTCTAATTGTGCATATAGTTCATTATCGTGATCGATCGAATTTGTAAATTCATAAAGATTTACATCTATTGATTCATGGTCAGAATGGTTTAACATTTTAGTTATTTGTCGAAGAAGATTATATCCATTGTAAAGTTTACCTAATGGCATTTGTTTTAAATAATCAAATCGTGAATCATTAAATATCTTTGAAGTATCATCATTGTCATTCGACCTTGTTTTATCAATATCAGATATTATTTGTCGTTGTGTATAACATTGATAACATCGATGAATATGACTATAATTAATTCGACAGAAAAGTAAGTATGTACGAATAATATATGATTGAACGTAAAGAAAATTAAAGGTAAATTGTGTATTCCATTGAGGAAAGTATTCTTCGCCAGTTTGAAGACTTGCTCGAGCTAATCGTTCAATCGATAGACAGTCATTATTATTTAATGTAATAACACCTGTAGTTTCATGTATGACTTGTAAAATGGATATCTCTCTTGATGATAATTCTTTGATTAAATTCTTTATTAAATTAATAGCATTTGGTTCTTCATTTGTATTTGTTTCTTTTTCTAATAAGTCTAATAAACTGTTGTGATAATCAATCAAAACACTAAAATATATAATATAATCTTATATTTTTATCAATATATTTTATTGAAAATTCTGTTGGAAGGAAACTTTTTAAAAATGACATAAATAGTTATAGAGTTAAAAAGTTGTTAATGAGAGCTCTACATAACGTGAGCATATGTTTCATGTCGATGCACGGAGAGAAATATGAGAGATTCAAGAATGAAGTCTTTACATTTGAAATCTGTTGTGTTCTATTGTTCTGCAACTCAGTTGGCTCTCGAGCGTCTAGATCAAGTCAGAAAATGAGGATTGAGAAAAGTTCTTCGCATCGATTTAACCACTGTACATCAGATCATACTTGAATCCAAACATTTGTTTATTATGATTTCGATGTTTAAAAATATTTTCACTTTTTTAGACTAGTATTTACAAGAGAGAACGGGTTCGATTCTGATTGAGTAAAGACCAAAGAATCGAGAAGTTATATTGTTTTATTTTTAAAAACATTTGATTTAATGAATATTCATCTATAGATGTCGATGAGCAGTATGACGAAAGAATTGAATACATAGAGAGAAAAATGATTTATCAATAAAGATGAGCATATATTTCCGTAATGGGAGAGATGTTTGTATATGCATTCACAGTTATAACATATTGTCAGATACGAGTAACGAGATCTTGAAAACACTACTTATTGGTCCCGCTCATCATTATCAATGGCACTAACAGTGAATTCCATCGCAGCGTCATCGGCAGTAGAAGAGAAAATATACTTCTTGAAATCGATCAAATTTTAGAAGCAAAAAGGCGCTAAGTGGCTACTTTCTCGGTTACTATTTTGTATAAAGTATTCGTCTGATCTAATTTAGATATGTTACCGACGTTTTGTAAAAACAATTTTCTAGAATATGACAATATTCGAAATGTGATTGAAATAAAGTCATTTACACTTCTCTCTAGTAAACAACTCAAGTAGTTTCGACTATATCTTGTTGCTGATTTAATCTACTAAAAAGTGTTTCTTGAAAATGTATGAATAAATTCTTTTAATGAAAAATATTCATGAATATACCTGAGTATACGCATGATTATATCTCCTTCATCATAACTTTCACTTGTAACTAAATAACTAATTGGTGTTTCCATTGTAATTGTTGTAAAACGTTGTGTTTCATCGCAAGCACCTGGCCGAATGAGACCATTGGTAAAATGATGGTAAGCATTCACAGCTTTAATACCATTTTCAATAATTAACAAATGCTTATCCTTTTGATTTTGATATTGAAAATCATCGGAATAATTGCAATACTTTCTACCGCGTTGATATAATTCTTGTAAACTTACTATTGCGAATTCATCTTTTGTAATTAATTGTGCATAAGTTTGATGTAAAAGAAAATAGAATTGGCTTAAATGATAAATCATTCGTGTCATTTTAAGAAAATCAAATGAATCGAGTACATGTCGTAGAATACTAAATGATAATTCACTATATTTCGGATTGTTTAATTCAGTTTTAAAATGTGTAAGTTGAATATGAGCAGGCATTTGAGATATATAATCTTGAAATTGTTTTTGTATTTGTGATTGTAAATATAGACTATTAATAAACTTTTTATATTCACCAAGTTGTTGATAAACAGGGTAATAGACTCTAGCTTGAAATTCTTGTTCTGCTTTGAGTTGATCATTGAGTGTTGTAAGTAAGGGTATAATCCATAAATTTTCGCTATGTTGACGAGTAAATTGAGCCATTTGTTCAAAACAATGATTTAATATAATGCATGCACCATCTTCATTTGCCAGTAATGACAAAAAGTTATATGTTAGAAATAATCGAGCACGAACAAAATGACACACTTTTGCTCGTATACTATCACCAGCAATTCGAAATCGAATTTCTTCAACAGCATTAATTGCACCGGACGAAAGAATTGGACCATTTAAATTTTGAACAGATGTATCAAATAATAATAAATGCCAAGCCTAAATGATGAACAATAAACATTTGTTTTTTTTTATTGAACATCTTTAAAAACAAACAACTTACTAAAGCACCAAAAGTTGCAAAATAAGCAACGTAAACTGCTGGAATATTCAATGCGTTTTCATTTATTCCACGATTTGAAAATCGATATAATTCACCAGTTTCGCTTATGATACATCCACAATCATAATGAACACCATTATGTTTAATAATTGTACGAGCTGTCGAACCAAAACCTATAATGAAATATGATGACAATTAATACATTCATCTTATTCGTCGAATTGATAGAAGATAGTCCTTCGTTTTTATACTCACCAAATGTATTTTGCAATTTCAATGGTTCAAATGTGAATGTCCATAGAAAACTTTGCTTTCCACCTAACATAATCATAGCTAATAGATTGACCATTGTATGACGAATGGTCAATTCTTCTGGATCTTGACAATCAAGTTTAAATGAATTATTAAGATAATTATCGTCTAGATTATTATTCATGTTTGGATATCCAATCATATATTGTTCTGGTTGTAAAAATGCTCGAAATACTCGTAATTCTTCGGATGAGGGTTGTAAAATGTTTTCAATTACTGATAATAAAGTATTTAGAGAGGCTAATTGATCATTACAATAATAATTATAATAAATATTTAATAATAACATAACTTTTATTTCTACTAAATCGAGAACAGGTGGATCTGTATTTAATTTAAGTTGAATCCAATCAGTTAAAGATGTCCAACGTTGTTCTTGATCTGTGATTTGTACACACTGATCAATGGCCATAGTTAATTCATTATAAGGTTGATGAAGTTTAGGAAAAATTGATAAAGTATTATCTATTGTTAAAGTAAATTGTATTTGATGATATAATTGTAAATATTTATTACGTTTGGAAGTGTATTGTATTTCAAGTAAATCATGAAGATGATTCGCCCATTGAGCATTGAGACATTGAAAACGTTCTGATTTTAATAGATTTAAAAGAAAATTCCATGATCGTTTTGATGCAATTATCGATAAGAACAGTTCAACGTGTTTAGATAATTTTTCTGTTGTTGATGAATCATTTTTTAGATATTTATTAATAATTGTAGTTAGAATTCTATCGACTTCTTTTTGATTGTAGTTATTTATATCATTTTGACATAATAATAATGCTGTCATTTGTAATGAAAAAAAATCTTGAAATTTTTCTAATATAATTTCGGCGGATGTTTGCAAAAGTCGATTATTAATCTGTAGTAATACCGGCATAAATATTTTCTTAATAATTGCACAATTGACTATTCCATTATGAGCCAATCGTTGTAGATAAAAGAAAAATAAATCAATTAGTATTTGTTTTTCAGTATTAGTATTAGTAATTGATGGATGATATGGTATTTGATAGTCTTTAAGATTTGTATTTGTTACACATTCAATAATAACTGATAATAAGGAAATATGATCCCAAAAATCTGTAGTCTGTCGATTTGTTGAAGTTCGATTTTGTCGTTTATATTCCATATATATGTTAGATAATTCTTCGAATAGAAATTGTTTCATTGATAATGATAATTCACATGTTGGTTGATTTAAAAATTTAAAAAGATATTTTATTTCTTGATCACATAATTGATTTTCATTTTTCAATCGTGATATAATCCATTGTTGAATATCAATCATTAATGTTGAATTATTGACATTTTTAGTTTCAAAATATTTTTGTAGAGTTTGAATAATCATTGGTAATAATTGTAAACAAATTGATACATCATTATTAACATAACGAGAATTCATATCATCATGAATAAGTGATGTATCTTTTAATAATTGTAAAATAAGTTCTTTTGGTTCAGGTATTGTTTCATTAAGAAAGATAAGATAAGCTAAATTCATAAATTCTATTTGACCTTGTACACGAACAAGTTGTATATATTGTAAAACTTTATTTGATGGATAATATTTTGAAATAAATGTATAACTATGAATCCATGATTCAATATTATCATTAGTTGAACATAATTGACAAAGATTTTTCCACAAACAATCAAACATAAATCGAAATAAATTTTCTCGAACTTTTGAACGAGTTAAGAGATTATCATCTGAACAATTTCTATAAAATGATTGTGTTGAATCAAGTCGTTCTGTTATTCGACAAGCTGAATAAAACGAAATTAAATCATTTTGTTCATACTCGAATGATGTATAAATATGTCCAAGAAGCCATGCCGATCTATTCAAAGCTTCATTTAAAGATTCAGAATCATTTTCATCGGTAAGTAATAACCAATTAGAAACAAATTCAATAGTTTGTTGACATTGATCAAGATTATTATTGAAATTTTTCTCAACAATTGTACATAATGTTCGAATAGAATCTTGTGTATACGATTCAATAATAGGTTGAGAAACAATATTCATCAAAACTTGATCATTGATTATGAATTCTATTAATTTATTTCGAAATTGTTGAGGAGTAAATTCTGTTATTTCATGATCATCAACATTATTATTAAATGTCGTTAGTGGTGTCGTGTAAGCTGTCGATACATCAATCTCGTTTTCTAAATAAGAAAAGTATACTTTTTAGAAGATTGATTAAAAAGATTTTATTAAGTTTTAGTTCCATCGCTTTAATTTTACATCAACTTGATGCAAACATAGAAACGACTTTTTTGCGCTTTTATATCGAAGCTAATTAAATTAAGAGACATCAAAAATCTTTAAAAATATCAGTGTGAGTCTTTCATATCGTGCAGACCCACATCGACAACCTCATTGACTACAATGTGTGAAACTATTTTGTTCAAGCAGATATCTCTCCTTCTCATATAATTGAAGGGCAATCACGAAAAGAATGTCAATGAATTCGATAAGAAAATTTACATCATGGAAATCCTTGCACTCAAATGTTTCCAAGTAGAGTTTCCTCTTCCCTTGTGATAAAAACCGGAAGAAAAGCGGCGGTTAACCGCGGTTTTACCGGTCTGATTATCGATTCCCATCGCTACAATTTACCGCGGTAAATCGCTGGTTTCGATGGATACCGCGGTTTACCGCTAAAATGAACCGGTTAACCGGTTCGCCGATGATCATTGACATTTGGTTGCTCCAAATCACAGATTTTACTATTTTAAATGTTTTTTTTCATTGTACCTTCCCATGTTATAAAAATGCTCGAAAAACTGCCGGTTTACCGCGGTTTTACCGATCCGATTACCGGCTTCCTTTGCTGCAATTTACCGTAAAAACCGCCGGTTTCGGTAAATATCCCGGTTTACTGCTAAAACCTGTCCGGTATTTACGATATGGGTCCCTCCTCAAAGCAAAGTTATTTTGCGTCAAAATACATGAATATTGAGATAAATATATTGAACGGCAACCCAAAATCTATCCTTCTATTTAATATATCATTTTCTTGTTGCATAAATTCTTAATGATTTCTGTTCATTCCTGATAAACTATATGACACTTCAAAAAAAGAAACGAGCTTAAACAAAAATAAAATTATTATAACAAACTTTCAAGTTTAATCTGTTTAGGCATTAATTGTGATTTGATTTGATCTGCCAATGATTTGATACGTTGATGAAATAAATGATACAATGGAGTTTCGGGTATAGATGAATAATGACTAACAATTTGAAATGTTCCATGAAAATTCGGAGCAGTTTTATCATTATCAACAACAGCAAATGATTTATAATCGATTAAATTCAATAACGATTCATAACCATTTTGAACCATTGATAATTTCATCAATGTTTCTAATCCATAGTCATTAATAATAAATTTTAAAATATTCGAAACAAAATTAGTAAATGATATTCGTATTTCGGATTGTAATGAATCAACAAGACTAGTAAAACGTTTACCACATAGAATATCTTTTGACATTTGATAAATCGAATTACAATTTTTTTGTAATGAATTTTTATTCATAGACATATTTTCATAATAGATACTAATTATACGTTTTTGTAATTGTGATGATTGTTGAAGAATTTCTTTTAGACATTGTACACGTCGATTCGTACTTGTTGAAGGTTGATAAAACTCACGTGCCAATCGATTTTTAAACATATTCTGTGGTATTTGTTGATGAAATATTTGTATACGTAAACAAAAATCCCAAAGACAATCATCAAATAAAACATCCAAATCACATAATTTATCATCGGTTGATTGTTGTTCGTCATGTTGTTTTGTTTCAAAAGATGATGTGAATATTTGTAACATTTTTTGAAGATGAAATGCACTACCAGGTGTACATGTATCAATGAAATAATAATCCCAATCATGTAAGAATATTGATGGAAAACATGATTGATGATCAAGCTCTTGCGCTGTTGAATGAATTAATAGGATGAAAAACTTGTTGGATATTCGATTAGGCCTATCGATCAATTGCCGAATAAATGGAATATGTACACGTTGTTGTGCAATTCGTCCATCAATAACAATAATCAAAACATGTTTAGCATTGTCTTGTTCGTAATTTCGAAAATGTTCTTGTAGTAAAACAGAATTTTCAATCGTAGCCTAAAATTAAAATGGTTGTTATTTTTCTTTTAAATAAATATTATGCAACAATTTCATAAATACAAAAAAAAGAAAGTGTTCCATTATTTCTTTACTCATCAGCTGAAAGGAAAAGGTTATTATGATTAGAATTGCGCCTGACGATGATATCGTCAAAAACACCGTTATGATATATGAAAGATTGTTTAACAATAAGGTTTCTTTTGAATACATACAGTGCGTTCTTATTACATTTTTTAAAGGATAGAGAAAAAATGTGTCCCAAAATAGATAAAATCAAAACGATGTTTCTGTGATTAATACAGTACTCGCCATAAGTGGGCGCGACCGAAAAAACGAGGAAGACAAAGGAGTTATTTGATTATATTGTACTTATGAAATATACATTATATGTGCATCATCCTGATAATTGATATAGTCGCCTTTTCTTTCTGTTAACAACGCTACTCTATTTTCCATAGAATCGATTAATTTTTCATTAGATTCATTAGCTAAGTTTCTTCATTTTTTTTCATTTTTTTCAATAAATTGATTGATCGACACATTCGGTTCTTTGTTTATTCTTAGCTTCATCAATGCGCAGATATCTTCAGTTGGGTTATAGTCTGTGAGTTTTATATTCCACTTAAATCTTTTTTTAAAATATCGTCACTTGTTAGAAATGATTTAGAGATCGGTTTCATTGAATGTACACCTGCAGTTTTTAAATCTTCTTTTTAGCGTTGTTTTACTAATTTTTATACCTCTTTTTGATAACCTAAATGCAATTCAACCGACAGATTCGATTAAATGTTGAGCTATCCTCAACGGAATCGTTACATCTTTTCTTTCCGGTATATATCGAGTTTTATGCAACTTATACGTCAGCAGCTATTTCGTACCTTTTAAGCTCACATTTTACAATCGACTCACTGATGCGTATAAATATTGTAAAATATTAGTATTTGACACGTATGGAACATAGCTCTGCCTTTATAGAAAAATTATTTATCATCTTTTCTTTAAAAAAAAGAAACGAAAACGTCTATTTTCTATTTAGTTATAAATTGGTGGCAGTACGAATATAAATGCTCGTATTTACTCCCGATGATGAGTATCAATAGCCCCTTCAAACAAAGCAAAAAGATGAAACAAATCTCATTATAGAACAAAAATAGAGAGCGCGTCCACTTATGGCGACTACTGTAGCTAAATGTTTGTCGCTAGGAATTGCGCTGACAATTGGTTTTTGATTAGGTATATACTTTTACTATTAGAAAATATGATTTCTTGTCGAAGAACTTGACATTGATCGAATTTTTCGTAATGCTCGTATACTTCTCCGTTGTGTTTTGAAGAATTATATTGCATCTTATGTTACAAGATTCATTGAATACTCGACATTACTTTAATAGCAAACAAACGAAATATTTTTCTTGTAAAATCCAATAAAAAGAACATGCCAAAAGAGGCTTTCTAGTACATTCTGTATTACTAACCACTCTCAAGTGACTGTTTTGCATCGATGAAGACAAGTACAAATTACATTGAGAAATCTTTACAATTATTGTATGTTGCTGTCATTAAGATGTCAAAAAGGATTATCATATATGTTGAGCAAGAAGTCTGATTTAAGAAACTAATTCCAAGTCAAATTACTTTTTAATTTTGCTCCTAATCACTTGGCTAACTCATGTACAGTAGTGTTATATTCTAAGAACGATAAAGTAATGAAGTATCTTAACAGAAAACAAAAGATTTCCATTTTTTTTCCAATTTAAAAATGTAAACTTTTAACATTTCCATATGGCATTCTATATAATTCAGTATGATGAAAAGGATTTCACATTCGAAAAAGAAATTTAAATTATATAGACTTACCAAATTAATGACATCAATTTGTTCATGAGTACTAAATAAGCTCTGTTTCGATTCATTGTTCAAACTGGTAACAAAAGTTGATGTTCGCGTAAATATCATTACTTTTGTTGTTATAGTAATATAATTGTTTAACTTTTGTTCTGTTGGTTCATTGGTCGATGATTGATCACTATTATCTGATTCGATTGATTGAGATGAAATCATCCGATGAATAAAACTGTCAATATTGAAATGTTCTTGTTGATAAAAATAATTTTTGCATAATGATTGTGCAAATTCATCTTGAAAAGTAGGTAATTTATATATGATTGATTCAGGTGACGCAATTTGTAGTAATTTAGATATTAATGAAAGCAGAAGACATCGTCGAATATCAGTAGAATTTTGTTCAATAAATGTTTTTGATTGAATTGTTAATTGTGAATAATTTCGATGTATATTTGAAAGACCATAGTCTCCATTTTCATCTCTTTTAATCAACGATAAAAGACATGAATAAAGTGTATTTTCATTTAAACCATAGAAATATTGTTGTGCGAAATGTTGTATGAATGATCGTATTTTTTCTTCGACATGTTTTATTATTGTCTGTTCGTTTACAGGAATTTGTTTTAAATAAATCGAATAAAAAGCAGTTACACTAAATGAATATTTTTGAAAACGACTAAGAAACGGTGCTGGTATATCTTCAAATTCACTTCGTTTTATATGAATAATGCATTGAAATTCTTCATGTACAACCACATCCATTGTTTTTGGACCAATAGCAACTTTGGAAAATATTTTTCTTGTGTCATCTGTTGCCATTATAGAAAAATTTTGATTAAATACATCATAAAGTGAACCATGAATTCGTCCTGTATTAACCATTAATATTGTTTTGCCAGTTTCCATACATAGTTTTATTGTTGATAAGATTTCAACATTACGTAATTCATTATTGATATCATCTGGAAAATCTGGCATACGAAAAATAGCTGTTTGATTTGGATCCTGATCAAGGATACCACTTTGAAAAAGAAGATGAACAGCACTTTCATCATCGGACTCATCAATGATCAATTTGTATCGACCATATAAACGACGACGTTTATAATCTAATTTCATTGATTCAAGTAAAATAGTTGGTATATTACGTTGATATTGTTGTTTATCTGATGATGATAAACGAAAATCTGGACATTTTTCATTAACTACAGTGAAAAAAATATTAGTTAATTTTTCGAATTCATCATGTTTTATTCCATTAAAATTATCTTCTAATGCACGTAGTAGACTATGTGGTGTTATTTCACCTATACTTCTATGTTCATCTTGATCGATATTTATTAATTCGAAACGTAGTTCACGTAACATATAAATAAAATCTCGATCATGAAATATATGAGAAATATCTGGTGATTGAAGTATTCGACGATAACCTTGACATAAACCATGAATAATATTGTTAAGTTGATTATTTAGAGATTTTTTTTCGTAATTAAATTTTAAACCAAGGCAACCATATGCTAAAATTTTTTGATCACCTTCCGATGGTAATGAACGATAGATACAAGTCATACGATTTGCATTAGCTGCATCAAATGATTTGTTTGCAATGGCCACAAATGCAACTTTACAATCATCTAAATATGGATGTAAAACTTTTAATACCATTTTATTTTCATCCGGCAATGAAGCTTCATCTAAGAAAACAACCTGAAATATTTTTCATTATATATTCATTGTTATAGTTAAAAGATAAAGATTAGAAAACTTACACATCGAGTATCTATTTGATTTTGTTCATAGTGTTGTTCACGTTTAATAGCACGTTCAAATATATAAGCAATATCATCTGAACGAGTGTATTTTGATCCAAGACAAAAGAATGGATCAATGGCTGGTAAACGTTTACAGAATGGTTTTGGTGATAATTGAGAACCTTGAAGATTCTGTAAAACGATTTGAAATGAAAGTGTTTTAGATTGACCTGTCGATTAAAATGAATAGATAATAATAGAATATCGAGCAACAATGATTAAATTTACCTGGAGCACCAATAATACATAAAGGTGTTCGACTGACAATACTAACAACAATCGAGAAAATATGTTCACGAATCTTAAAAATAAATATTAATATTTAAATAGATAGTCAATGAAGAAAATCCATATATACATACGGCTTGATTAATAGCAACTCCATGTGGAATGACGAAATTGTCAGCATTAACAAATGTTTCCAATTCATTTTGAATGATTTCATCGAAATTATGGATAGATTTAGAGATTATAGATGCTAGCTCTTCACGCGATGGTGTACTTTTATCATTTCGTTGTGCATTATCTTCGGCAGTTGGAAGTCGAAAATAATAGATTAATGCTAATGATAAAGCAATACATCGTAATGGATTCGGAGTATAAGAATTTTGTTCATGTCCAATTTCATGATCGTATCGCATGTTCCAGAAAAAATCAATAAGATTAAAGCATCGTTGGATTTCTCGTTGTGATATTGAGTTTCGTGCTGAAAAATAAAACGGTTAATTCAAGCTAAAGAAATCTGTACGAGTCTGTCAAGTCGAAGAATAATTACTTATTTAAAATTACCATATTTAGACATTTTAATAGTGTGATAATTCAAAGAGCCTAAGATATTCGACGAGAAATACTTTAAGAGTTCGATTTCAATCATCGATGTATCTATCGAAGTGAAAATATTCTCCTTATCATCGCTAACTTTTTGTAAAGCGAAATGCAATTTATGTAAAAACATTTGTCAGTTCCTAAATTATGTTTTCATTTAAGTTGTTCAGTAGGTTTCTTCTAAATCGACGTGTCCCTTGCATCAAATGTTAGCTCATTTAGAAGAAAATCTATTGTACTAAAGCTATTTATGTTGAATCTTCATTTTCTTTCGTATTTCTATAAATGCAAAACAAAACGGGGAACGTATTTCTGCTCATCCTCATAAATTCTAATCCTAATATAGTATAGTCTTATATTTTGTAGATATGTGTAATGTTACTAATTGTAGAAGACTTCAATAAAATTCTGAATAAAGAAAACAAGAATCCTACCAAGGCGTTTTTCACAGAATTCCTGTGCTTGTAGAATGCATTCGGCTAAAGTATGTTGAACGTAATCTTCCAGTGGCATTGATTTTCGACCATTAGTTGCCGAATTGATTTGAAATATGGCTATTTTTTTATAAATATAAGTAGCTAATGTTTTCGATGCTAAAGAACCATAGGAAACTTTTAAATTTTCCAATGCATGTGGTAATTTATGTACAAGATAATCACTACGATGGAATTTTTTACTCTCATCTTTTGTCATGAATGGATTTATAGCAGCAGTAAAGAAAATATTTTTTGGTATGTTTGTTCCATGTAATGTACCATCCATGAACATTTCTTTAAATAAACCCAGACAAGATGATGTATTAACTTCATCAAAGAAAACAACTAAATCAACATTAGGTAATTCTCGAGCTAATTGACATATTTGAGACATGAATTCTACAATTTGTTCTTCTGTAATACCTGGATGCAACAAAAGACGATGGAACAATGGTTTAATCTGGTAATGAGTGATATATTCTTTAAAGATCTCTATAGATAAATCAATACTTGGTGAAACTGTTCGTTGAAGTAACTGTCTTAATTTAATGCTAGGTTCAATCAAAGGATATTTTCCTAATTGCGAGGTGACATAATTATGTAATGCTTGGATAAAATTTGCAGTATTGTTCATGCCATTATCATTTGATATTGTCAAAATCGTTTTCCATATTTTTTGTAGTATATCTTCATTATACTTAAAATCCTGTAAGATATCTTTGATTTCTTTCAGAAATTCAGCATCATACGTTTCTTCTTCTTGTCCTTCAGGAGCTTCGATTTCTTGTTGATTTATATTATCTTGAATGTGATGATTATTATCATGATTTAATAATAGATTTCTAAATTGTTTAAGAAATAAATTCAATAAAATTGGTTGAGTTTCCACCATTTCGATGATTATTGTTCGTAACCATAAACTTACATTCTGAACAATTCTTGGAATGATAGAATCTTCTGATTTATCACTAATAGTTTTTGCATTTAATAATAAGGAATAAAATTTTAGAAGAAATGTTTTTCCAACACCAGTATCACCTTCAATGATTAAACCTAATTTTGTTAATTTTCTTTCGTGTACATGAAAAAGTTTATAAGCAAAATTTTCAGTTAAAATAAATTTTTGTTCATTCATAATATCGATAAAACTATCATATGGTATATCAATTAACCAAGCTAGACATTCAGCAAAATAATCTTTATTTATATAATCAGGTGTTGTTAATGGATCACGATTATTAAATAATTGTTTTAAATCATATGGAACACAATTCCAATCAGCATGTAATATATGCAATGAAAAATTTGGATCATAAACAAGATAGACACGAGGATAATGATTATTTTCAAAACTGATCTGTGTCAGAGATTGTGCTTCATCAATCATTTGTTTCATTGCTATCGAACCAAGTCGATTGACATTGTCATTCCAACAATAATAAGATCCAATAAAAAACCGAATACGACGATATAAAAATTTTGTAAATGATAATTCATAAATTTTATTTCTTGGCAAGTCAGGTGCATAATTATTTATACAATTATATATGTAATAACGACATTCATCGGCATCTGATATTGGATCAAATTGTACTGGATGTTCAACACCATCAGCCGTTGTTACAGCTACACGATCGATTGTTCTATTTTCATATGCTTTTAAAAATCGAGCAACCAACTCTTCTTCTGGACCAATATATAGTTGATAATTTTCGCATGTAATTTGTTGTAAATTTGATGGTGAAATAATCGAAAGTAATGGCAATATTTGGTGAAAATTTTCTTTAGGTGATAAACCAGATATTTCGGAATAAGGAATTTCAATTATAAATTTCCATCTATGTATTATTGGTAATGAAAATATTAGACCACTATCAACGTCCATCAATGAATTACAAATAAATAATAAAAAAAGAGTACGATTCAATTCTTCAAATGGTGCATGAATTGAAATATTGAAATAGATTAATGGATTTGTAGTGATTGTTTTTGAATCGAATACTAGAAATGAACTAATTAATAACGAAAGATTTAATTTATCATTAATACTAAAACATGATAAATTATCATCTTTATATTGTGTATTAATTCGATGAGATTTTCCTAAAATTCAAATAAATAATCATTTAGCGATAAAAGAAAAATGTTAATGTAATCACTAAGATTTTGAAATATAACCCACGGTGATACTGCTAGTATTATAAAAGAAAAGTAAAGCATAAGTAGTATACTGATTCCGAAATGTACTTTAATTTCGCAGGTGTATCTATTGGAGAGATGATTCAAATTTTTTCCCTCTTTATTTCAAAACTGTTTCACAAAAAAAAAATCATAATTCTAACTTACCAACTCCAGCTGTTCCATAGATAATTTGAATATCTGATCGATTGCTACTTTCTTGTTGAAGTAATTTTACTAATTGTCTGTATGTTTGATTTGGATCTCGGTACGCATTTGGAATTTGAAATTCTCTTAAACCATGTCGAGAGATTGTTAATTCTCGTGAAAAATAATAAACAATCCCATGTGGTTGTTTTTCACGTGTTAGTAAATCTTGTTCATTTAATAATAATTCTCGAAGTCGATGATGCATTTTATCAATATCCATTATAGCAAATATTAAATAACGAAATGTACGAATACGTGAAAAAAATAGACGAATATCTTCATCTGTTGCATTCGAACACCATAGTATTTGAAACGAAGCTGGTAATCGATCATTAAAAATATTTAGTAATATACAACATGTTTTCATATCCATATCATGTTCATAGGATGTTTTCTCTGGCATTTTTTTCATTGGATTTAATGTAACAAGAAATTGTTGATTTTCATCTTTCATTATCCTTTCTTCTAACAATGGTTGACCATTATAAAATAATTTATTTAAAAATTCACTTAAGTTTTGTAAACATAAGTCAGTATTCATACCAAATTCAAGTTGATGTGTTTTATACAAGTGAGTAACACGATCATCTGATAAATCACAATTTTTTATGTTTAATGAACGTAAATAATGCATTAAACATTTAATTATTAAGTTTTCTTCATCGTTTTCATTATTGAAATTTTTATAAGAAAATAATTTCTTTAAGAAACGACTTCTAAGAGATTCTTGATATGCTGATTTTCGAAGTAAAATGATAAGAATCATAATTTGACGATTTGAAAATAATTTTAATAGACAACATTTGTCACGATGTTTTTCCAATGTTTCAATCCAATTTCTATAAGAATCATTGAATTTTGTATATCGAAATTCTAGATTATCTATGCGAATTTTTGCAGCATTTTCTAATCGAGCATTTTGAGTATTTCGAAATTCAGCTACTATTGTATTAGTTTGATCTAGAACGAAAAAAAAAATATTAAAATTAATCGGTATTTACTTTTTTCTTTTCTTACTATTTTGAAGACGAATTTCAAAATGTTCTTCTCTTAATTGATAATCTGGATGACCAGACATTTCTAATTTTTTTAGAATTATATAAATTTTTTCAATAGTTTGTAATAGTTTTAATTGTGAATTAATTAATGTTTTATTGCAAAACATATTTTGTTGTGCATCGACACTACAAAATGTTAATTGTCGTTTATGATCATCAATATCAGCCATTGATAATGTAAATGTGATTGCTTCGGATTCTTGTCTATCATTTTCATTGTTATTAGTTGTTTGTCTACGTGCCTTGCCAATTGTATATACCATTTCAAAATAGGACTGTTCATTTATTAAATACCGTAAATATATATCAACTGTACCACTTTTATATATATGTTCCATTGTTATGAGAGCATTATCTAGTACAGTACCGTCTTCTGCTGATAGCCACATATTGACAATTTGTATGTTATCGTTGACAACTATAAAAGAAATGAGAATAAGATTTATCACTCTTGATTCTTCTCAAAATTAGTTTCTGTTTTATTCAGTTGCGAGTAAACTAATAGATACAGTTAGACATGTGTCAACATCAAAGCTTTGCAGTTTCTGGAGTTCAGATTCCGAGGAGTTTTGATGTGGGTACATATGTAAATTGTCTTTTTCTCTGTTTATATGAGATAGTGACTGATCTGTACTATTGAAAGTGTCATATTACTACACGATGACACCCAAGATGTACATATTTTAGAGATTTTTATTCATAGTGTTTTTGGATGGTACCTATGAGAATAAAAGCTTGTTACTAATGATGATATTTATCCTCTTTCCAGTCCTAAAAAGGTGGCAAGTCATCTATTGTCCGCAATTAGCATTCCGAGATCGATAATACTTTGCGAAAAAATGTTGCACTTGTTTTATCTCTAAAAAAATATTGGAAAGCCTGAACTGGAACTAGGCTCAGAGGTATTTTCATGCGGATTCTGCGTGTTGACATTGTCTCATGCATGTTAAGCTGTAAAAAAAGTACTTAGGGCATACCAAAAGTAGTGGCGCCCGCATCTCAATTTCTTATAGAAGGCTTGAGTAAATTTTCTTTTTTTATGAGGTGATAGAGAAAACGAAGCTCTATTTTTCTGTGCTATTTCATCTCTATTTAACTGGTATTATAATAATAGAATTTCGATAAGAACTGTTTTTGCGTAAAACTTCACTAATCCATTAGTACGCTTTCTATTCCAATTTCTAATCATTTAATACGTTATACTTAAAAACAAAAGATACCAAAAGATGCAGCGTGAAAAGCTCTACAATTTATAAAGAACAGTTTATTTTGTATTTGAAATAAGTAAAAAGAAATTTCTCTTTGGATGATTTTTTTCGGGCAACGAAGATTGGTTACACAGAATTTTGTTTTCTTTTGGCAAGGCGACATAATTAAAACAAACTTTATTATGTAAATTGTAGAGCTTTTCACGCCGCATCTTGTGATATATTTTGTTTTTTTTAAACAAAGGATATCAAATGACAAAAAGGTGAAATAAGAACAAATGAACTCATCTTACATCAAAAACTATAGTTTTCGCACATTCGAAACTTGATCACTCAAAATTTTGTTCATTTTGAAAACAAAAAGTACAACTATAAAAAAAGTCATCTTATGTAAATTGTAGATCTTTTCACGCTGCATCATTTGGTATATTTTGTTTTTTTAATACAACGTATTAAGCAATTCAAATATTTAATCTGCCTCACGCGTCAGTGAAATTTTACGCAAAAACAGTTCTTATCGAAATTCTATTATTATAATACCAGTTAAATAGAGATGAAATAGCACACAAAAATAAAGCTTCGTTTTCTCTATCACCTCATAAAAAGAGAAAATTTACTCAAGCCTTCTATAAGAAATTGAGATGCGGGCGCCACTACTTTTGGTATGCCCTAAGTAATTTCTTTAAATTTTGTATCAGCATGAAGCAAGTGTTTTAGACAAAAACATTACAAATAACACTTGCAGTTTTCATGACATGAATATTGCATACAAAATGAAGAAAGACATAATCGAAGTTCATGAATTATAAATGTTCCATTTGGCGACAAAAAACTTCATTCATTTTTCTTTAACATCTTTCGTTAAATAAACCTTCTACTTTTTTTGGTAATTATAATATTTAAGTTGATATAACATACCTCTAATATGATTTAATGAAGTTTCTTCAATGTTCGACAATCGAGCAATATGTGCAACAAAATCATCGAATTGTTTTACTTGATATACAAATGGTTCGACTAAAGCATACGTAATAATCCATGAATTTAAAATCATATTATTGCGTTCTTGTAATTGAAATTGCGTTGTTAAATTATCTCTCAATTCTTGAAAACGACGTCGTCCATTATTAGAATATAGATCAGCGTTTTTCATCATAAATATAACATTCGAACATTCAACGGCTGTTTTTATTAATTGTAAATGTTGATGCGTTAAATTTTGAAATTGTTGTTGCAATATTCTATAAGTTTGAGTTATTGTTTTTAATGTACAATTTTCATCAATACGTAAACTTTGTAAATGATCAATAGATTGGTCGCCGGTGTCATTGGAAAGAATATTAAATTTTGTTATACATTCTATGATAACACGAACATGACTATAATACAGATACGTTTGTAACCATTCACAAACTTGTTCAATATCTTGATTATGCTGAAGATTTACTTGATTATTTCTCATGATTGTTATTTGTTGATTAGAACGACTAGTAAATAATGTTTTAACTTCATCTTGAATATTAATATTTTTATTATAAAATATCGTACTTAGATTCTTCATATGTCCTAAATGTAAACTACCATTTAAAAGATTATCAATAAATGGAAAGACTTCATCGAGTAATTTACAAAAATCTTTTTCGGAAATTATTTCATGTGATCGATAATATTTTTGATAAATCATATTAAAGATGCCATGAAATAATTGATTCGATGACAAATTCACAGATTTAATTCGATACCACAATTTACGTGGTCTATTATTACGTTCATTATACACAGTTATTATTAGTTGACCACCTCGTTCAGTTTCAAATCGACCTTGCAAAATTTGAGTATGAATTTGAATATTATCCTGTTGAAATAATAATAGTTTATCATTATTTAAATCATTTGCTTGATATTCAATTTTGATATTACATGGTAAATTTTCACAAGCAAGAGACCAGCGTACACTTTGACGATCATTAATAGAAACAATATGCGTATGATTAGTTTGACTTTCAACTTTAAATGTATTGTTGGGTTGAGAAATTGTTAATTCTTGAATATAATTCATTATATTATGTTCAGTGGTCAGTGTACCTTGATTAATAATTTGAAATGGAATTGAACAATTTAGTAATTGGGAAAGACGTTGAAGATCCTTGAATGAAAAAAGAAGTTTTGCCATGTTTTCAACTGTCATTTTCCATTGAATTATAGGAACCTTTGGATCATCTTGTATCAAATTTAAATCAATTAGTAATTGACTAGCTCGATTAAGATTGTAAATATTGAACCATTCTATAATAGGTTGAAATACAAGAATGAATTTATCGAACCATAAAAGCCATTGATTTATATTCTGTATAAATTGATCGAAAAATTCTTTGCTAGAATCTATATTGTTTGTATTAATATCATTTGGCTTTGGAAGAACTATGAGTGCATCAATCATGGGTGTTGTAAGTGGAAGTCTATAATATTTTGGATTTGCTGATGTAAATGTTTTCTTCAAATCCATATAAAAAAGAAAAGAATGAATTATTGATTCATTTAACAGCTTATGATACATCGAATGTGTACCTATAATAAAAAATAGATATCTTTGTCAACACTCAAAATTCAAATTTTTTATCAAATATGAAATAGTTATGTTCATAGGGCTCTTGATATGAGACTGCTAAATACTTCATGAACGTGGTGACAGTGGCAGATTTTCAGCTTCGACGGATATTTCTGTGTTATTCTTACTATGGAATAAAAATAAAAGCTCTAAGAAATCAACAAGAAAAGAGTATCAGAATTTTATCAAAATTATCTGACGTTTCAAATCTACCTAAACTTTATCTATGAACATGTTACTATTGTAAATCGCACAGTGCTTAAAATTTAGCAATTTTAATTTGCTGAAGTCTACGCATACTGTACCGATGTTTTTTCTCTAAGCATTATCCTTTAATGGTCATGATCCTATGAATACGTTAAGTATCTTGCTATATGATCCTATAACATCTATACACTACCTACGTTCCCTAATGATACGTTGTTGTTCTTCGGCTTCATATAGTCTATCCTGTAGCTCTCTTCATGAGATATACTTTACTCAACTGTTCGAAGAGCAATGCCCTTGGAACTGAGTCCTATAACTTTCTAGTAAGCCATATAAACTTTCTTTTTGAAGATCTTGAGTTCGTATCACCCCTAGTCTGTGTCTTAAGCAAAACTCTGGTTACATCACTAGTTCATTCTTGGGATGATTGCTTTTTCAAACATATATATACCCCCGAAAAGCAAAAGTTAGCCACTTTATTTTGGATATATCGTTACTATAACAGCATATTTTTAAAATAATAATACCATACTCGGAAACCGCGTAAAATTCTCTACTACCCTGTATATTTTATATTTTAGTTTTCACTTTTGAATGATCAACATAAATTGAGTATAATGAAGACACCCTGATGTCCAGATTCTCACAGACATGATTTTGTCACTGTAATCAAATTAAGTTTTTTAGATTTTGCATCACCATAGAATGTTTGTTTTGAAAGAGCAAATATATATTCTGATAGCGCTTGAAATTCTCTATCTCTCTACATATTTGTTAACTCTCTTACATTTATCTATTATAAAAATAATATAAGAACAATGAAATCATCTCAATTGACAATTTCGAAAAATCTTGTGTATGATACATTTTTTCGAACTATAAGTACAAAGAAAATTATTTTTTTTATAAAAGCGATTATGTATTTTGATAGAGCTTCAAATTCTCTACCACCCTATATATTTTTGCTTTATCCTATATTTGCGTGTTGAATAATAAATTGAGTAATATTTAAACATCCTCGTTGATCAAACCTAAATTAGGCAGAGAAAACTCAAAAAAAATAGCGAAAAAAGTTGTGGATTTTTTCGAAATTGTCAATTGAGATGACTTCATTGTTCTTATATTATTTTTATAATAGATAAATGTAAGAGAGTTAACAAATATGTAGAGAGATAGAGAATTTCAAGCGCTATCAGAATATATATTTGCTCTTTCAAAACAAACATTCTATGGTGATGCAAAATCTAAAAAATTTAATTTGATTACAGTGACAAAATCATGTCTGTGAGAATCTGGACATCAGGGTGTCTTCATTATACTCAATTTATGTTGATCATTCAAAAGTGAAAACTAAAATATAAAATATACAGGGTAGTAGAGAATTTTACGCGGTTTCCGAATATGGTATTATTATTTTAAAAATATGCTGCTATAGTAACGATATACTCAAAATAAAGTGGCTAACTTTTGCTTTTCGGGGGTATATATATACGTATATCTTGAGAGGATACATCGTATTAATCATTGATTCTTGCCATATTACCATTGTAATTTAACTAGATCATGTGTTAACTCACAAAAATTTATAGAAAGCTCTAGATATGTTTAATATCTGATCTTCGATCTAAAACAGACAGACAGATATACCACTAGAGCCTGTTGGACTGATGCCAGACCTGATGGAGTTTAACTGTCTGTAAAATATGTAGTTGGCGCTAGTCACCGAATATTAAAAACTGGAAAGACGTATCTCATATCTTTGGGATGACTATACAACTTCAATTAAACCTCTTCTTTGTAATGGAAAATACCCTATATTAGATCTTCGTTGAAGCAAGAATGTGGTGGATACTATTGAAGATATCCTGAAACAATGGTGTTTTTGAATAATTGGAAATTTAATTAGTGCGCTGATGTCAAATCGACTTAGTTTTCTGAGTTTTGAACTGAAACGCTTACATGACTAAACGATCAACATTATTTCTAGACTTTTCAAATCCATAAATACATCACTTCAAATTCTTTAGATCATTTTGGTTTTCAGAAAAGCCTTTTAAATTAAAAAATTATGAACCGAAATGGAACACAATGAATTCTTCTAATGAAGTTATATCCCTCATATTAGGTTAACTTACCCTGTAATTGTAAAATTTTTTCAATTTCTTGACAACCACTTTGAATAAAGTCATCAACTAGGTTTACGTTAATCGTGTTTGGTTGTCTTTCTCGAATAGAAAAGACGTATTGAATAATCGTTTGAATGTTTGGAAGTGAAAAAATAGATTTATTCTGATTTGCGATGATGATTTCAAATAACTTAACGACAAGAATAATTGTTAAAATATCATTAGGATCATATATATCATGATGAACAGTGTTTATCCATTCATTCATTTTATTAAGAATTACATTTGCCTTATCTTGCGGTGATTTTGAAAGGCTTAACTGTATGATCCTTGACCAAATATGAATTGTCCAACGATTATTATGATGATTGTCACACATATATTTATAAATATTGCAATCGAATTTGACCCAAATATCCGGAAAATTGATGAGGAAATCTTTAAGCCATTCATCTTCAATTATAACTTCTGGATCAAAAGTCTCACATATATTTCTGTCAAAATCATTTAAATTCTCGAATATAGATTTGATCTTTTCAGGTGTATTGTGCAATATATGAGAGGATATACTAAACAATAATTTTCGAATAACAAGTAAACGAAAAGGTTTTTGAATATCAATCGATGGCGTGGACAAAAGATTAATATTGAGCAAAGTTTTCAAATCGTGTTTTGTTACTCGATATGAATAGTACTCATCTTGAGTTTGTTTGTAAACAAAAGCTTCGCATACTTGTTCGAATATTGCTATAAAATAGGGAAGATTTTTAGATCTAATATTTTGCGAGCATCTTCTGGCTAAATCAATGTATCCATTAAATACATCAAGAGATACTGTAGAAATACGTTTTGACAAAATGGGAGTAAGATGTTTTCGTATGTTTTCATTAAGATCACTAATTTTGCTTAGATGCAAATATAAAATCCACAGAGTATTCTCAATTATATTTGATGAATAAATAGATAAATACTCGAAGAATAACTGATCTAGTGCACTTATTAACACCAAAAATTCAGAAATACTTGTCTGTTCGTGATAATTCATTTTGATACCCATATCGAACGTTTCTTTAAAGTGTTCCAGAAATGCTGCATCATTAAAATTTAACTTTTGACTTAGCCGGATAAACAATATGAATGACGAAGTTTTAGATTTTTGTGGATGCATTTTATTTATGAGATAAACATATTCTGGTATACATATGGGAAAACCTTTAAATGCATCTTTATATGTAAGGTATTGTTCAATAAAGAGTTCCAAGTTGATTTTAATTTCCCTTATTTGTGATATAATATTCGTCCACTTTAAATTATTTTGTTTATCATGTGTTATCAATGAAGATTGCATTGATAATTTACACAGAACAAAAAAAGTATTTAACTCTTGTTTGTGTTGAATAGTTGTAACGGATGACAAATGTTGAAAAATATTCAAATCTTGTAAAATTTTTTTGTCAGTTACACAAATATTAGGTTCAATACCGTTTGTTTTAACGAATACTTCCGTCAATTGTTCGAACAATATTTGTTGAAAATTTTTCAATGATGACTTATCGTTTCTCGACCTTATGTATGTTTCGATTCGATGATAAACATAGAAATAAGCGCCAATTCTTTGTGAAAAGTTATTCGGTTTTCTTGAAGATCTTATATCGTTTATTGTATATTGCATAATGTGTTCAAGATCATTAAAGATGGTCTGTTTCCTATGATGCCGACTGGATTGGTCAAAATATTCAAAATTTCTTACAACTGCACTAAAAAGGTTTTCGCTTCTCGTTGTTTCTTGGAAAATAGATTCAAAAGCAATAACAGTTTTAGTTGGTGGATACTTAATAGTCAACCAATCTCGAATCTTGTCTGCCATTTGAATAATTAATTGAAAAAAATGTAGTAATCTAGAACAAACAATATAATAACATATGAATTTAATCATTCACGAGCAACGTGATCCTGAAAATTAAAATACATGTACTTCGTGATAATAAACTTTGCATAAGTTAATTTTCGTGTTAGATTTATCTGAATTTACTCTAAATACACTGAAAATATCGACTTTCATTATATGCATTTTAGTTTGAGGAAAAAACTTCAAATCTAGAGAAAAACTTGGAAAATTAAATCTTATATTCTGTGGATGTAACTCGTGAGGCTACCGAGTTCTAATCTAAAGTTGCTTCTTTCTAACTATGCTTTGATTTACTGATTGATCATGTTGTAAATGGATAGAAACATATAAAGAAAACCTATACTCTAATAACTTAATAAGAAAGTCAAAACTAACTTCAAACAATACAAATCCTTCTGCAGAATCTTCAGATGATGGCAAGACAATAGTTGTTGTTGCGATACATCATAGAAGGATGTGGATGCTGTTGAAAAGGATCTTACAACAATTCGCATCATCATTCATATGATGTATTTCAAGAACTCTTTGTTAATTACTATTCAACTAACCGTAAATCTCAGTTAGCTAAAGGATATAACAATTCGCGATATTTACATACTAAAAGAACTTATGCAGAAAAATGTGGGAGACATAAAACTATCTACTAACCGACGGCG